TGCGGTAGGACTCTGTGGGATATGACAACAAACTCTGCTATTAGGATGTCCTTGGGGTGGTGTCTGTTTTCGAAAAATTGAGGGAGGAAGACTACGGTGGTTTGGGCATGTCCTTAGGCGACTACCGTCGGATGCGGTCAGGAGGGTAGAGTCGATTACAGTCGACGTGCCAGAAGGAGAGGACGACCAAGGCGGAAGTGGGAAGACTGCTTGAGATCTGATTTGATGGATTTAGCCCTTACCGAGGACATGACCTCTAAGGAAAGTATGGAGACTTAAGACTAGGTAGTCGAGTAGTGTGGGTCACATCTCTAGGGTGTATCATCTCTGTCTTCTTTTAATGCCTTTGTAGTAATTTTCATGACTTCTACTTTTATACGTTTCTGTTATTGATATTTATGAAGGTTTAGAACTGGGCTTGCTATCGTTGACTTCTGTGTAACATTCTCTTCACTTTTAAATTTAGTCGGGTCTTACGTTTCTGTCTATATGCAGAGATTTTTTCGCAGGAATTTATTTGTAGGGATTACTGCCTATTACAAACGCGCATATGATATTAATGACTGCATGAATACTGTTCAACTATGTATTTACGTATTTATTTATACATGCATTGCATTTTATCTATATTTTTAATTTTCTGACTGTCGGAGGTCTTCCACGGAAGTTACTCTCAACCTGGCGTTGGGGGCAGCCTACTACCCTACCTCCCCTTACCCTATTGCATATGGGAATTGGGTTTTGTTGTTGTTGTTGTTGAAGTTCAGTAACTATGTAAATTTAGCAGCAACCAAACTTTGTTCTATTTTTCAATATTATCTTATATTTCTGTTAATTAACAAGTGATGTGTCTTGGCCTGTTAATCTGATGAATTGCGGGTCCTCAGTTTTCCTTTTGATTGTCTTGTTGACTGTTATGTGTCATTTTGTCTTGGTTCCTAGGATACTAAAATTGCTGAGAGAATAGAGAAAGAAGGAAAAGGTTGTTTGATTGTTGTAAACAAATGGGATACCATACCAATAAAAACCAAACTGCAACATACTATGAGCAAGACGTTAGGGAGATGCGCATGCTTGATTGGGCCCCGATTGTTTATTCTACTGCAATAGCTGGTCAGAATGTTGAAAAGTATGTTACTGAGCTGCCATATCTTATTATTTTATCGTTACTATGACTTCAAATGATAAGACAGGATGATTTCTTTTCCTTACTTCCTTTTCCCCTTCATTTGTTTTATATTTATTTTATGTTTTAGTACACTGTACACTGCACACGCCCTAGTATCCGCAGTATATTTCCAATGCTTCTCTAACTTGTCTCACGAATCTTTTCTTTCGTTGTTGTTTTGGTTTCAGGATAATTGTTGCAGCTAGTACAGTTGAAAAGGAGCGATCGAGAAGACTTAGCACGGGAATATGAATCAAGTGTTACGTGAAGCAATAGCTTTCAAACCCCCTCCTAGGACCCGAGGTGGCAAGAGAGGACGTGTTTATTATTGCACGCAGGTATTTTTGTTACTTGGCAAAAATAATGAATTATATCATGGTGCTTATTTTGGGATTGCTTCGTTTCAACAATTGATCCACCCTCCTCAAAATTTAGCTGTTTCGTAGTTCATTCTTTCCTACATTTTTCCTTTATGGTTTAGTTTTCTTGTCCAATGTGTTTTACGGGCCACTTTGTATCCAATAATATCTCCTGTTGCAGGCGCTTTAGGCCACCTACATTTGTTTTCTTTGTCAATGATGCAAAACTATTCCCGGAGACCTACCGACGTTATATGGAGAAGCAACTTCGCTCAGATGCTGGATTTGCCGGTACTCCGATTCGACTTCTTTGGCGAAGTAGAAGAAAAGCGGAAAAGGGAGGTCAGTTCTATTTACCATTAAGGGTGATGGTTTTTGTGGTTATGCTCAACTAAATGGATTTATCAGCATAAATTGCTGACTCGCGTTCTTGCACAACCAAACCAAACGTTGTTCGATTCATGAAACTAACAGATTAAATTGAATCCCTCGAGTGGTTTCCAGGTAGGGACAATTCAGAACAAGATCGAATCTTGCTCCACGCGAAGGAAATGTGGCATTGAACATGAACCGACATCGTATTCCTCCTCTGAAAACATAATGGGGTTTCCTTCAACCTGCTTGAGAGTTTTTTTTCCAAAAAAAAAGTTATCATAGGACGTCTAATCTGTTTGCCCCCATTAAGATAGACAGTTGCATGGCAGCAATAAGAGAAACCTCAGCTCCCTGCTTCTGAAATCCGAACGAAGTATGATTGTAAAAGCAACTCTCATCTTCCTGGGAACACCTCGAGAACATGTCGGTGGTTCGTATTTTTGTCGCAGTTTAACTGTGGTTATCGGATCGTGGTATGTGTTTTAGTTTCCAACCACAAAGCATACATTATCTACTAGTTTAGGTATCTTTCTTGAAGAAAGAATCGAGTATCAATTCACTATAAATGTAGAATACTAACTATATGATTATAACGATTCTTATATCTTATTTTATTTGAACTTTATTTTTTTAGAAAAAAGTAGTCAAACTCAAATTTCTTAATCATCTATATATATTCATTCTTAATTTTTAGGTAAACTACGTGGTTAGTCATCCACTTTTAGCGTATCTTTGTTTGGTCATTAAACTATAAAATTTTAATTTTATCACTAAACTTTTGAACTTAGCTCATTTAGGTCACTTGAAAGTTAATTCTTTAATGTTGTTTAATTTTCTGGATTCACCTTGATTCATTAATGTTGAAGTATTTTCTTTCAAATCCAAATGATGGTGAGATCAATAAGAGAGAAAAAGAAAAAAAAGCAACACATATTGATATCACTTTAATTAGATGATGAAGATTACATAACAAAATAAAGTCGAAATTTTGATTTGAGTTATTTGAATTTTGTTCATTTCGAGTAAAACAACCATAAAGAATAAAGAAAAGGAAACATTTTAATACTCGTTACATTACAAATGATTATTGATGATAATACGGGAGGATGTTGAGTATGGGAAAGAAGTTGAAATTTACGTTAAGTTGATAAATAAAGTCTAAACACGGTGTTTTGGTGTTGGCAACTTGGCATTAAAGATTAACGTTTGAGTGACTTAGATGTCTATAATCAAAATATTAGTGATCAAATTGAACTTTTCATAACTAAGTGATCAAAAGAAATACATGGAAACCTGGATGACTAAACAGTGCGGTTGACCCCTTTTCAATTTAACCCATACGAACAGATTATTCAGTTATACATTAATAATAATAATTAATAACAACTAATCTTCCAAAACAAAACCGATGAAGTAATACGCACCGTTTCAAGGACGAAAAAGCATAAGTAAATTTTGGAGGGAAACAGAACAGTCCCCGCCAATTCATTGAAGTTCTAAAAGCACAATGATCCTCCCCACTCCATTCTTTGCAAAACCCTGAATCGAAATAGCCACCATTTTTACCTTCTCTTACAAGCGCACACACCAATGCCACCGATACACCAAGAAAACGTTTCAATCCCCCAAAAAGCCAAACAATCGCCCAACAATGTCAAATTACAACAATCATTTAATCCTTCAATTCATCTCTCCCCTCAAACACCTCAACCACCTCCCGTAGATCTTCACGTCGATCTCTCCAGCCATTCGCTTCGAAAACCGTTGACGAAGTTCCAGATCCAAACAGGCCGGAGAAAACCTCAAAATGTAAGCACAACGAGAATAGGGAAATGCCGGAGTTGGATAAATTGGGTAAGCGGAATGAAGCGGCTGAGACTACTTTTTCGCCGGTGTCGCCAGAGGCGTCCGAGAGTGAGAAGAGGAAAAAGGGATCGAGAAATGAGAAGAGTGTAAGGACGTTGAGAACCCCGAAATGCAGCTTTACGAGGATGATGGAGAATCCCGGAGTTGGGTAAACCGGATGAGGGATGATGAGGTTGTGGCTACATTTTCGCCTGAGGCAGCGGAGATGAAGAAGAGGAAAAAGGGCAGAGAAAAGCGTTGCAACGAGAGCTATGTCTACAGTGATGGCGAGTAGGGGTTCGAAGAAGTTGATGGAGGGGAAGGAGAAGAAAAGAAGAGGGTTTATTATAAGAAAGTGGTGTATGATGGAGTGAGTTCGAGGGGGGTGATGGATGTGTATTTGAAGAAGAGAAGATGATAGCTCCGATGACGAGGTGCCTGAAATGGAGGAGTGTAGAGTCTGCTTCAAGGCAGGGAGGGGTGTGATGATTGAGTGTGATGATTGTCTAGGTGGATTTCACTTGAAGTGCTTGAAGCCACCATTGAAAGAGGTTCCTGAGGGCGATTGGGTTTGCGGGTTTGCCAGGCTCGGAAATTGGGGAAAAATATTGAGTTTCCGAAGCCTCCAGTGGAAGAAGCTGGCTAGGACTTTAAGGGAAAAGCTGCTTGCTGGTGATTTGTGGGCTGCCCGTATAAGAGTTTGATTACAAACAGATTACATTTTATCATTATGGTTTATCATGTATGTCATATAAACAGATGATTTTATTTTATGTTATTTTGATTTGTGGCGTTTGCAGTTTGTGGAAAGAAGTAGATGGTAGCTATTGGTTCCGAGGGCGATGGTATTTGATACCGGAAGAGACTGCTAGTGGAAGACAACCTCATAACTTGAGAAGGGAGCTTTATCGAACAAATGATTTTGCTGACATAGAGGTTATTGATAATATCTGTTGGATTGTTAATGTTAATTTATTATTATTGGTTAAAATGAAAGAACCTGCAATTAAGTTTAGGGAAATGTGGTTTAAGAGATATAATGTGGCAGACTTCTACATTTTAATTAAGTCAAAGAGATCATTCTCTTCTTATGCTTCTCTCTAGGATTATTATTTTCAGCCAACTGAACTGAATGATTCTTAAAGCTTTCTACAGGAGTTTGTTAAATTAAGGTTTCTAACATTGGCTTACAGATGGAATCTATCATTAGGCATTGCAATGTCATGAGCCCCAAAGATTATGCCAATGCCACTGATGAAGGGGATGATGTTTATTTGTGATATGAATATGATATTCAATGGCACAGTTTCAAGCGTCTGGCTGAAATTGATAATGATGAGTAAGGAGTCAGAAATCTGAATTTTCATCAAAGTGGCTTTGCTTACTAAAATATAGTTATTATTGTGTTAAAATTAATCGGTATGTTGTCTGTGTGTAGGATGGTGATGTGCTAGCAGTGATGAAGACTGGAATTCTTTCAAGGAAGCTGACTCTGATACCGATGAAGAGATGGAATATGAAGAGGAAAATGCAAGGAATGCACAAGCTAGACCTTCACAACTAATCATTGGCTGCAGTGGGGATATTCTCTAGTTATTCACTTTCTTAACTTTGTGCTTGGCAGCTGCCGAGGTTCTTAAACAGCTATTGATTGATACAGAACTCCCGAAGGGCCGTTTCTTTGGTCTTCAAAAAGTAGGGACAAAAAATCCCAGGCATGTGAGGTGCCACAAGCAGACTGATCTGGAAAGGGCAAAAGCAACACTTTTGTTGGCAACATTGCCAAAATCTTTACCTTGTAGGAATAAGTATGTGAAACTTGTTAGCTATCTTATTCAACTTATACAATTCTTATGAGACTGAATATGAAATATGTCATGGTGGCAGGGAAATGTGAGGATAAACAACATTTATAAAAGGTGCCATATGTGATGATCAGTGCCTTGGCCGTTGCCTTTATATTCATGGTGTTCCTGGAACAGGCAAAGTATAGTCCATTGACTTTGTGCTCGACAAAATTTTCTTTACTATTCCCAATTTGCTGTTGTTATCTGTTGTTGAGATTTATCTGAATAGGAAACTTACTTATTTGGTCTCCCCACCCCCCACGCATTGCAGACAATGAGTGTATTGGCAGTAATGAAGAACTAAAGTCAGAAGTCGATGCAGGAAGCATAAGACCTTACTGTTTTGTGGAGGTTAATGGTCTGAAGTTAGCTGCACCAGAGAATATTTTATACGTAATATGGAGTATGCTAACTATGGAGTTTGACCTTTATACAAATTGTTGATGGTTGCCTTTTTTATATTTACATTTTATATTTATATATGAAGCATTAACTGGCATAGGATTAATTGAAAAAGGCTCTGCAATTACTGAATGAACGGTTTTCAGATGGAAAGAAAATGGCTAAGGAGGATGACCGACCTTGTATTCTACTTATTGATGAACTTGATCTTCTTGTAACCAGGAACCAGTCGGTAATTTGTGCATTTTATGATACAAGCTAATAGTCCTTTCTATTTATTCATTTTAATTGAAAAAGGTTTCTCATGACATTGCGTTTCTCTCAATCACAGGTACTATACAACATTCTTGACTGGCCTACCAAAGCAATTCCAAGTTAATTGTGATAGGTACGCATTTTCTTATTTCATGATAGGGAATTTGACACTCTGGCCTGTAGTAATTGACAGTAGCAAGACTAGAACAACAATGTGATTGTTTATCTTTGAATTCAGGAATAGCAAATACAATGGATCTTCCAGAGAAGTTACTCCTCGCATTTCAAGCCGAATGGGTATTCAAAGACTTTGTTTTGGTCCCTACAATTATCAGCAGCTACAGGAAATCATATCAAGTCGTTTAAAGACTGATGTGTTTGAAAAGCAAGTGGTAGAATTTGCTTCAAGAAAGGTAAGTCCACATACCGCTTGCTTTTCATTCTAAAATTAATGTTAGAAGTTATCTTACATTTTTATAATATTGTACTAGTGCAAATTTGATGTTAAAGTTTATATAGCATGTTTCGGTAGCTGCTATTTCAGGGATGCACGCCGTGCTTTAGAGATATGCAGGCGAGCAGCAGAAATTGCAGATTATGTGAGACTCAAATTTCAACTGTGAATTCTTCTAAAGGTAACAGTTTTCTTGATGAGTTGGATACCTATTAGCCATGCCTATGACATGATTATTGACAATTCATCACATGAAAAATCATACAATAACAATGAAAATATGATAGAATCATACAATAGCATATGAAAATATTGATAATTCAATGATTTTTTTGTACTTTTTGGTAGCATACTCTGCTGCTTTTGCAACTGCACATCTTCTAGATGAATGAGTTGCCCTTAGCTTATATGTTTTATCGTTCTCCAGGGAAAGAATTGTTACTATGGCTGATGTTGATGCGGCCATTCAGGAAATGTTCCAGGCACCTCACATCCAAGTAAGTTGGAGTTACTTATATAACTGCATAATAATTTTAGCTATCTTTTTTTGTAATGATGTATGGTGAGGTTATTTTGAACATTATTGTTCAGTAGTATTAGATAAGGATGAAAAGGTATTTTATCACCAATGTTTTATATCATTATGAAATAACTTCTTTATTCGTTTTTGCAGGTAATGAAAAATTGTTCCAAACTGAGCAAATCTTCTTAACTGCAATGGTTTAGAACTCTATAAGACAGGGATGGGGGAAACTACATTTGAAAAGGTAGTTAATGTATGGTTTCTCTTTTAATGCTCTGTCACTGTTCTTATCCATCAACAGTTTAATTCCATTTGTGCACATTTTTTACAAGATTTTTTCCATGTTGCAGCTGGCAATGACAGTTTCATCTCTGCACAAGCAATGGAGAGGCATTTCCTGGTTGGGACACACTTGTAAAAGTTGGGTAAGCATCTTTTATTGACTTATCATGGCATTTTACAGTTTTGTTTAGAAAGATTGATGTTACCTTCGAAGTTCATAGTTAGCTGCACTTGATATGGACCCGATCGGAGCCTGTTTTAATCCCCATAGTTAAGGAAATACCGAGATGAATTATTTCCGTTTGCTTTCATTACCACTGGAGTTTATATTAACTCGGATAGTAGATGGCTTGGTGGGTGCAGAAAAAGCTTAAAATTTTGTTTCTTTTTTTTTTTGGCAGCTGCCAGCTTGGAGAATGCAGAATTATTCTGTGTGAAGCAGGAGATAGACACAGGTTGCAGAAGCTGCAGCTCAATTTCCCCAGGTTAGTTCTCTGCAAACTCACTGAGAAGCAACTAGGGAATGATCTTGATGACAAATATTATGAAAATCTCTCGGATAGTAGATGGCTTGGTGGGTGCAGAAAAAGCTTAAAATTTGTTTCTTTTTTTTTTTGGCAGCTGCCAGCTTGGAGAATGCAGAATTATTCTGTGTGAAGCAGGAGATAGACACAGGTTGCAGAAGCTGCAGCTCAATTTCCCCAGGTTAGTTCTCTGGCAAACTCACTGAGAAGCAACTAGGGAATGATCTTGATGACAAATATTATGAAAATCTCTACAATTTGAACCTACAAATCACAGCATAATTTCATGGAGTGGCCAATTAAGGCACCACTTGGGGAGACTGTTAAAACAAATAATTAGTAATTTCATTTAGATATTTAAGGATCTTGGTTGGTTTCTGTGAAAGTTATTGCATAACCAAATAGGACTGTCATTTAAATCCAATTCATTTTTGTTGTGTGACAGTGATGATATTGCTTTTGCACTGAAAGATAGCAAGGATCTGCCATGGTTGGCCAAGTATTTATGATCAATACAAGCAGCACTTACATTCAGTTAATTTATATCTGTATTTCAATCAGTCATGTTGTAGTTTCAATTGTTTTAGAATTTTGATCTTTGCAAGAGGAGATTGTTCCAATATGAATAATGCTGAGATGAACTGCTCATGCGGGACTTCTTTTTGAAACATTAGTACCATATTTTAATTTCATCATACAAAATCTGTTTATTATTATCATTTACTTACATGTTGCAATTTTCTATATAATTAGGATTGAATCAACTCTCCAATTATATATATATATTCATAATTTTAAACATGTTAGTAAAATTAATAATTTTATTTAATAAATCAAATATCTTTTCAAATCATATAATATACTTATAATATTATTTTTTTAAATCAAATTATTTAGTTAAAAATTAGAACATCAACTTTAATTTTTAATTATTTAAAATTTATTAATTTAAACTTAATTCAAACTTAAAATATAAACAAAAAATTCAAGCTGACTCTGAATAACTCTAAATAAAAAAAATTGAGTTAAATCAAACTTACCCCTATCTACAAGAACACTTTAATAAAACAGTAACTTGTAGGCAACCAACTTAACTTTCAATAAAGCCTCAAACAATTTTTTCTCAATGTCCGTGTTTGGATTAGCTTATTAACTGACTCTGAAACCAACAAACTAAAGCAACAATTAATTATGAGTCAATATTTATCCTAAGCACTACAAGTGTCAAATGTAAGCAGAAAACATCAAGCTTTAGAAATCCTGCGGGGAGAATTCGACAACTAAATCCGAAAATGATGATTTCCGACATAACAGCATAAAATTATGGTGATCGCCACAAATAAGAGACGGGAAAGTTGGGGATTAAGCTTGCGGTGTAATGGAGGAGGTTCTTTGCCATAAGGGCCGGCCTAATATGGCACTTCCATGAACAGAGATGTAGGTGGCATTTAACCTAGCAATAACAATCAGACTTGAATTAGTAATCCAGGAAATAATTAATCCATCTTTTATTACAGAACAGGGAGGAAGAAACTTTACTTATCGACATCAGGTGTTGCCAACGGATCATATGGTTCCTCCCTTTGATCTACAGGTGGGACAGCGCCTGCCATAGCTGCCATGTCTTGAGAACCTTCAACCTGGAAATCAATTATAGGAGAACTGAGGCTTCATTCAAGCTACAGTAACATTTCTAACGGCATTCCGTATTAGCAATGCTAAAGAAAATTCCTCATCCAGCCTTGTCGGCAGGTACATAGTGATATATAGGATTTTTCAAAATCAGTAAAGGGGAAGGTTCTCTTGACTTTTAATAAAAATCTTAAATGATACTGTATTGTAAAAAAAAAAAGCAGTATGCTTGTTCCTATTGTTATTACCTACATGGTCAAATTCGGAAAATAAAAAAATACTAGTAACCTACAGAGAAAAATTATATATAAATGTCTGTACAAACGAGACAACGATAACGAATAGTAATTTTAGGTGCAATACTAATGCACATGTGTCTAGAATCTCTTGCCTGTTGAGGATATTGTGCATAGCCATATGCACCATATGCATAGAGTGAGGGATCCTGGGTAGCCCCATAAGAATAAGCATCGTAGCCTTGTCCGTAACCATAATAAGTGCTCCATTGATTAGGATCGGTTTGCGTGCCCCAGCTACCCAGTAGGTCCTAAGAAAAGTAATGCCAAAGACCGTTAGGCAAATAAATTAACTAACTACAAAAGAAGGTTCACCACAAACACTATAGTCATCTAATCTACACCGACATGGAAAATGGCAGTTCTCACAATATTGTGTGTGTGAGAGAGAGAGACAACAATTGAGCTTTTACCATATGAATTCTTCAACTATCCATTTCATCCTTTTTTTCACACACAAAATAACAGCTTTCCTTTCCCTTTTTTATTTCAAAACAAAATTGATGCTGTGGAGCCTGAAAATGCTAAAATCATTTAGCCATATAACTCCATCAGAGTGAATTTGATATACGAGAAATATCACCTGATTTGCTGTAGGGATCCTACCCCACGAAATTTGGACGACTTGTTGACCAATCACTTGCCCCTGCATCCTCCGTATAGCTTCTTCAGCAGAATTTCTGCAGAAAAGATATAGTAAGTTAAAAGTTATTTGGCATTAGATCAGATAAAGCGAGGACAATTAAAACAATTGACTCACATAAAAACAACAAAAAGAGGAAGGCAGTGGCACATGACTAGTTTATACTGCTAATTCATTCATCTCCCTCCATTAAATTTTATGCAACTCTTGTCTAAGGGGAACATGATAAGTCAAAAAGATAAAGGGTTCATGAACTAAAATCTAGCTCAAAAACAATTGAATGAGCACAGACATCCACCCTTAAAAACTACAAAGCGCAAAACACTTCCAGAAGTTACTGGTATAACCACAGTTCACTTGATCTTTACCTGTTTGCAAACTGTACATAACCGCATCCCTTCGTCGCAGGGATCTTGACAAACACAATTTCTCCTAGTGGCAAGAAGAATTGCTTCAAATCCTCTTCTGTGGCATTTGGATCCAAGTTGCCAATAAAAATCTGCAAAAGAAAGTATTGTTAGTCAATGAGAAAGTAATAATCTGAACCAACTCGTGTATGCCTCACTTACAGTGGTATTTGTAATGTCATTATCTGGTGGAAGCACCGGCACAGTTGTTGGGTAAACCATAGCTGGATATACAGCTGCAGAAAAACCATGGGTAAGTGCAGTGTAGAATTCGTTACCTTCAGATATGCATGTGCCTATTTTACATGTATCTAATATGTTAACTAGATATAGTACCAACGAGCAATTACTTGCAGATATAGGCACGGTTGCTGGAGACCCTAGCCCACCCATCTCAACTATATTACTCAAACATGGGAGCGTGTTGGATATGTGTGGACAAGGGTATGTTCAATTTATTCGAAGTGTCATGTAACTGCAGGGCCATATCTCTATGGAGTCTATCTAACACAGGTACTTCAAGGAAAAACAAAGAGTCGGAGCAACATAGCAAACAAGTATGCATGTTGACATACATCATGTTCACATCACAACTAAGCTAACAAACAAGGAAAATGTGAATAAATAAATTTAAAATGCCATGGAACCAGCAACCGAGCTGCACAAGAATTCTAAACAAGTATGACTTTTATTCTATTGATAAAACGTTTGAGGAATAGAAATATGGTCAGACAGTATTATCAAAGCAACAAATCAGGGGTTGATCTACAAGGTGTACGAAATAATATTAATTTCTTTCTTTTGCTTCTTCATTAAACCACCTTAGAAAAAGGACTACATTAGAGATTATAAAATGAATGCCTATAAGTCAATTCTAAATTTATCAAGTTAAGTCTCTTTTCAGCAATGCAGCTTTGTAATCAAAATGGTAACAATGGATGGTAAAGGGAAGCCACATGAGGACAATGGATAAAACACAACTAAATAAGCACAACATGATTTTGTAGGACATAAAATGAATAATTTAATCTGGCTAGGGTTTTCTTTAGGCCAAAATTAAGGAACGGAATAAGACCTTTTGCCACAGCATATGGCTGCTGAAAACCAGTGTTCTTCTTTGGTGTTGCTACACTAATGTGCATGGCTCTCGTTGAGCAATAGACACCATTCATTTCAGTCATAGCACGATTTCTCTCTGTCTCATCCGAAAATTTAACAAATCCATATCCCTTGGAGCGTCCAGTATTTGGATCAGTCACAACCTTGGCACCTCTAACAGATGGATAGTGAGCTCGAAAAGTCTCTTGCAATAAATAATCTGTAACATCAGGTGCCAAATCCCCTACAAAAATAGAATGCTCAGGGCCAGGATCATTATGTCTTTCTCCAGCACCAAATGAAGCCCAATTTAACCTGAACATTTGTTCAGTTCCAGGCATCGGCATCCCATTGTAAGTCTGCAGTATCCTTTCCGCTGCTGCATGAGAAACAAACTCCACAAATCCATAACCCTCGGGCAGGCCAGTGATCTTATTGCGTATGATTTTTAGAGACTAGCTGTAAAGAGGAGGAATAATGGTTCATTTCAAAGGAAACATTAACAACTTAGTTCTCTTAATTAAAAAAAAAAACAAGTACGTTATGAAATTTTAGCATATGATAAAATCTTAACTATCTCAATTCTCAACACAAACTTTACCAAAGGAGTGTCAATGTTCACAATCAGTGCTCCAAAAATCACCTGAGCTTTCACATGCTAAATCCCCCACTGATTTTATAGTAATTTGACAGAATTCACCGCAGAGATTGATTTTTGATACGATATTCTTTGAAATTATAAATTCTCCATTAAAACTATGTGAAATTTAATTCTAATAACATGACAGAACTTAATACTTCACCAACATGAACATCTATGATTACCTTATAACATATTAATTCAAAATTACAGAAAACGGACAGCCTAAAGAAATTCCCGCTACGAACTACAGTCGTCAAATCAAATTAAGCAACGAAGAACAACCAAAATCTATTCAAATACCGGAAAGAACATAAACCCAGAAATATTTTGGAGGAAGACATTAAAATTTGTGTATATATTCAAAGAGAGAGAGAATGGGGAACCTCGCCAGTATGAGCAAAGCAGGAATTCAGATAGGACTCGTCGACCCAAAACTGAAGGTCCCCTATCCAAAGCGTACGGACTTCTTCCAGCGTTGCCGGATGATGATGGTGGTGCTGTGCTGCTGCCATGGTCGCCGGTCTTTGAAGAAATTCTTTTTCTAGCTTCTGATTTTTTTTTTCGAATTCCACAAATTTTCCCTCAACTTCGTTTAGGAAAAAAAACAAATGCTTTGGGCTGGACTCACGAAGTCACGATTGAGGCACTCACCGGTCGGGTTGGATTGCATCCGGGAAAAAAGGGTTTAATACATAATTTGCCCCCAATGTTTTAAAAAGTAATATATAGTTCTTAAAAACTTTAAATATTTTAATTTGATCCCTTCAAAAAAATTTAAAAAATGCTTATCATGTTTCATAATTTTTTGAATATTTTAAATTAAGCACTTAAAGTTTTAGAAAATTTTAGTTAGACACCAATTTTTTATAATTTCAAACTAACTCCTTCAAAAATTTTGAACATTTCAAATAGCCCTTCAAACTTTATTGCTAATATCCGTTTCTATTAACTGAATGATTTCGCCTTGTATCTCACCGAGATCAATGGTGGGCTACGACCTAATAGCTTTTGCATTCATTATAGATCTCTCTTTTTTTAATTTATTTTTTATCAAACAAATTATATCATTTTTTAAATCGAACCAAATGCAATTCAAGGTATAACCTTTGATAAACACGAACATCTTACAAGTCTAAATTGTATGATTTGCAGTATACCTTTTTGTCTATTTCTATATTAAAGTCTTATAGCGACAACTCTGTGGGAAAAGCTTATTAAGGATAGCGCAAGTGGAGATTTATGTTAACTTTTATGACAATTTGGTCCATAACTACAAATAACTTTGCATAGGCTGGACATGCGATATCAACTTTTCATAGCAAAGGGCATGAATGAGAAAAATGAAACTAAATGGGGCCAAAACAATTAAAAAGAAAAAGGAACAACAAATAATGACATCGTCACCTGTCCAATCCCAACAAAATCGCTTACAATTGTAAATGACTTTGTTCTTATTTTTCTTCCGAAGAACAACAAATAATGACATTACCAAAATTATCAAACTGAGGCGCAGTTGCCACATAACTGAAGTCGGGAGTCAAAAGTGTACCTTTACATTCAATTTTGGACAACTACTATGATTTTGTAATTTTATTGGATTAATTAATTATCCGAAAATAAATTTATACTCAAACAATTAATAATACAAACAATGAATATATGAATAACTATCACGAGAATGAATTGCTATTTTTTATGTAAACGCGAGCAGTTAGTTTTATTAAAAAGGAAAAAACTAAAATTATATCGATAATTTAAGTGTAAATTAAACGTATAATTAGGACATATTTTTATAATCATTGACATTAGTCACTTAAGATCATATAAGGACCACATAGGAAAAATTTAAAAATACATAAAAAAAACTCGAAAAAAATAAAGATATTAATAGATCTGACTGCATCAGCAAACGAACCACAACATAATATCGAACTATTGAAAACTCATCGACAATCGCGAATCAGAGTCGAGTTATTGAGAAAATTATCTCTGAACACAAATCGTATATTCAAATTCATCTAAGGGTCCAAAACAAGCCAAATAAATATGATAACAAAAAAACGTCATTTAGATTAGTCGATGCAACGCTAAACTGAACTCTAAAAAAAACCAAACGACTGGTTAAAGAAGATCAAAAACATGTCAAAAATAATAGAAAAATGTGTCATAAAGGAAAAAACAGTGTTATAAAAACTGAGTTATTATAAATTTAAAACTAAAATAAAAATACTATATAAAAAATCAAAATACAAATACAAAAAATCAATAGTTAGGTGCCGCCGTCGGCCAATAAAACTAAAGAAAAAGACCAAGTGGAAAAAAAAAGAAAAAAATCCTAACACATTTAAATAATAATCTGAGAATGAATTATTATAAAATACGAGTGATATGATATTTAAGATATAATTGAATTTAGACAATGTTCACACATAACATTCTAGAACAAATCCAAGTTAATAATAAGAATAAAATATGAAATGAGAAGTTATAACTTTGATTTTTAATTAATCAATGTAAAACATGATTGGATTGATAATCAAAATATATTTTGAGTTAAATTAGAATAATTCGATCAGAGTCTCTATAGTATGAAATTTAAAGAATAATAAAATCTAAACTGAAAACTTACACATGATATTTGTATATAATAAGATACGAATTTGTAATCTCAAAATTATTGTAATCTCAACATTGTCATCTAATAAGAATAAGAATTGTATATATTTATATCATATCGGGTACGAGTTCTTATCACAAATTTTAAATCGAATGAGACTTTCTTTAAGTCCGATCAATTCAAGTGAATAAATATACTTCTCGAATAAAATTATTTCGGCAAAAAACTAGATCCAACCTAACTTATCATCCCTAGCACCCCTAACCTATCGTGCTTCCCCTTGTCCAAGGAAAAGGAACGCAGCCACCCTTACAGGATTATACATTAACTCGTCAAATTTAGTGCCTTAAATTCAACCCCCCCCCCCCCCAAACTTTGTGTACGAACAGCCGCAAAAGAAAATCGGATCAACCAAACCCTAAACCCTAGGAAGAATGCTTCTAATTAAATATGACGACGCCCTTCATTTCTTTAGGTAAAATCTTATACAAGTCCTTATACTATAGTGTATATTTTAATTTAATTTTTGTAATTTAAAAATATGGTAACTAAATGCTTAAATAATAAGGGACGAAGCTATGCTTCATCTAAAGGGGCCACTGCCCCCTTGACTTTTTATTATTAAAAATAATATATAAAAAATACCTATTTAGACCACTTAGTTTTAATTTAGTTTCATTTTATCCCTCTTAATTTTTATTGTTAATTATACTTTATCCTCTTGAGTCAGTATTTTGACTATCTCCTTGTACATAATGGTCTAACCTTTTAAAGCGGTCATATAAGATAATAATAATATTTTCAAATCTCTCAAATAATATCCTAATGTTTCAAAATGATAGAGTAAGGTTTAACATTTTCTATTCTACTCGAATAAGTCTCATATAAAATGTTAGGCACTTATTCGATCGCTTTGAAAGGTTAAGTCTCATATTAAATCATTTTAAAGAGATTAGACTCTTATTTGAAGATTTAACCAAATAAGTACAAAAGTTTATACAACGATTAAAATAGTCATTTATGTAACAATTAATTTTTTTTAATTACACGATATCAATTATTTTAATAAAATGATATAAGATGAATTCTTCATAATCAAATCTGATACTTAATGTCAGACCAAAGTGATATTCTTTACCAACATACCTCAAGCTTAATGCAGCTAATTAAATATGATGACGCCCTTCATTTCTTTAGGTTAATGTACATGAATCATATTGGTAAAATTGTTATACAAGTCCTTATACTATAGTGTAGATTATAATTTAATTTTTATACTTTTAAAATGAATAAATTAAATACTTAAATAATGGTCTAACCTTTCAAAATGATCAAATAGGAATTTAATATTTTTTAATATACTCAAATAAATAATGGTCTAATATTTGTAGCAATATTTTAACTTTATTATTTGAGCAGTTTTAAAAACTTTAATAACTCAAAATAAAAGAAACTAAATATTTATAAGATCAATAGTTAAGATGTTGACATGTGTTAATAATCTAATGATCACTAAGCTCTATAAATAGAGATGAGAACTTTCATTGTTGTAAGTGTGTAAATATGTGCAAGAGGGAATATAATAAAAAAGAGAGGACAAGGGTGCAAAAGAGCTTAAAGCAGAGAAAAGAAAAACAGTGAAGTAAGTGTGTTTATTATAATTGTATGTGTACTAATAAAAGTGTTATATTCTCTAATTAGAAGTTTTCCGATGAAGTCTTAATTTATTTTAAGTTTTTAATTTACTTGTGTTGGTTTTAATATCAATTCTACTGCCTGAATAATATATGATCGATACTACAGTCCGAGTATTATTGTTCATTAAGAAGTTATAAAATAAAAGGTTAACCAACTTTAAATAATTAACGTAACATTTGTGGTTTGTGATATGTCGTCTATAATATATGTGCTAGACTCGTCAAATTTTCAACAATATATAAAAATATACTTACCTTATCCTTTATTTCTCAGAAATACCAATTAATTAATTCGCTCAGAGTTTAACAACAAAGAGGAAATGGATATCGGCGGCATCATTGGCGGGATTCCAGTAATTGCGTTATTCATTTTTACTGGAATTCTCATAAATCTCATCCAAGTAAATTCAATTTCTCCTTCGTCGTTCATAAATATTATTATAATTATCGAATAATTTTTATCATCTTCATAACTACGAATTGAAATGACCATCCAGCTCAGTTGGTAGAGCACAAGGTTCTAAACCTTGAGGTCGTGGGATCAAGTCCCACGGAGGGCATTTCATAATTTGGAGGTCTCCTACGGAAGCTGCTCTCAACCTGGTGTGGGGGCAGCCCTACTATCTACCTCCCCCTTACCCCATACATGGGAAAAAAGGGAACAGCCATTTTTTTTTTTTCATAATACGAATTGTATATGTGCAATTTAGGTGATCTGTTATGTTACAATACCCCATACTATGGGAAAAAGGGACAGCCATTTTTTTTTTTTTCATAACTACGAATTATGTATATGTGCAATTTTCAGGTGATCTGTTATGTTACAATCCGACCGATGTCGAAAAGTAAATTCCGACGCATTAACGGAGCAATTGCAGAGTTGTTATGGTTGGAGCTTGTTTGGATGATGGAGTGGTGGTCTGGCTTTGAGGTTCTTTCCGATTTATTTCTACTAAAATCATTATATATATATATATATATATATATATATATATATATATATATATATATATATATATATATATATTTGTATTTCTCCTTAATTCTTGTTTTAAAGAAAAATAAATAAATGATGAGTTTTTTTTTAATTTCGTTTATATTACACAACATTTTTAATATATATCATTTATAGTTTATTTATTCAATAATTTGTATAACTTAAGCTAATTGGTTTATTTTTACAGGTTAAATTGTATACGGACGTCAAAACTTTTCACTTGATGGGTAATATAAATAAATAAAACATATAAAGAGTATATATTTTAAACACATTCGAATTCACATATTTTTATGTATTATAATAATAATGATGATGTCAACTACAAATTACAGGCAAGGAACATGCAATTCTTATGCCTAATCATATTTCTGATTCCGATACGCTGCTTACATGGGTTTTAGCTCAGGTAATTTTAATTTTATATACACATAATTTAAATTACTTAAAAGTTTATTTTTAGGATAATTTTTTTATTTGGCCATCCATTTATTTCTGTATTTATATTTAAGTAATCTAACTATTTTTTAAGTAGTATGTAATATTACGTTTTATTTTTATTTTAACTATCCGATGATAAAAAACTAACGAAAATACTGATATGATAATTATATATATATTAAATTTTCATATCATTTTCTCTTTCATATCAATAATCCATTGATATTTGCTATTTTTTTAAAATCATTAAATATACCACTAGATTACTAACTATGAAAGGAAAAATAACGTAGAAATTAAAAAGATATATCACATTAGTGTAACCACTAATTTTTAAAAAGAGGGTGACTAAAAATAAATAAAACGTAATGCTAAATATAATTTTAAAAAAATAGTTGAATAATCAAAACAAGAATATAAAAATAAATGGGTGATTAAATAGATAATTTATCTTATTTTTTATTTGTATATATCTTATATAATTATAGTTAACATGAATGCAATGTTTTTTCCCCTTCTTGCAGCGCGTGGGCTGTCTTCGTAGTGCACTGACAATTGTAAAGAAAGAAACCCAGTTCCTTCCTGTGAGTTTTTCAACTTAGACTTAATATATATATATATATATGATATAATTATTTGATGATTCTAATTATAGTTGAAATTAAAATTTTATTATTTTATTTTGTTTATAAATCTAAAAAAGTATATTATGATTATCTTAATTTCAACAATTTATTTAGATTTATTAAATGATTATTTTTTTGTCTAAAACTGATAAGTTTAGATCTGTCAATGGAATAAATTGAGTCGATTTCAGATCAAAATGATTTCAGTTTAAATTTTTTGAATTGTTTTCGAGTTGATTTTAAATTTAAATAATTGATTTTTTAATCTCAAAACAAATTAAATCAGATCAAATTTAAACTTGAATCGACAGGTATTTGGATGGACAACGTGGTTTTATGAATTCATTTTCGTCAATAGAAATTGGGCAAAGGATGAAAGCAAACTCAGGGTAATTTACTCATCTTTCCGAATATATATTTATGAATTAATTTCGTACGAAATTGAATAAGATATTTATGTAAAAAAAAATAAATCAGAAAAAAAATCACGATAAAGACAGGAGAAGAAATTCACCATGTCGAAAATTATATATCATAACCTTACCTTGCACTATAACTTTTATAAATCATATCAAATGAAGTTCAAATTATGATTGTTAATTAGTTCGAATAAATCGCATGCAGTCAAGTTTCGAAGCTTTAAAGGATTTTCCGATGCCGTTTTGGATGACAATATTCGTGGAGGGAACACGTTTGACGTCCGATAAACTGTTTGAAGCTCAAGCTTTTGCCTCTTCCAAAGGCTACCCCATTCCTAAGCATGTTCTCATCCCTAAGACCAAGGTTTTCTTATATAATTTTCATTTTATTTTATTTTTATATAAATAGTTATTAAATTTATTGAATTGTTATAAAATATTTTTATATTTATCAAGTTTATTATTATTATTATTATAACACCTCAATTATTATTTTATAATAATTTGATAAATATAATAATCATTTTTAAAAAAATTAGTGACCAAAAAGATTATTTGAGCATAGTTTAGTGGTATGTACTATACATTACCAAAATATTATAATTAATTAATTGTTGGGAGGAATTATTCAGGGCATAGTAACAGCCGTTCAAAGCTTGAGATCCTTTGTTCCAGCGATTTATGATGTTACGATTGCAGTTCCCAAAAACCAACCCTACTTCCCCACTTTACTCACCTTCTTCAAGATGCAGCCTTGCAAGGCAAGTTTGCTTCATTAACTTCTCCATGTTCGATAAACGTTTCAATTAAGTTCAAAATCGAATCAAGTTGGATTCTTTTCTTTATCGTATAAGATTTAGATTCTAAATTTTATTTAGAAAAATATTTATTTCTTCATCTATTCGATCCAACCGACATCGATTAATTATCGTTAATTGAGATGAAATAACACAGGTGAAAGTGCATATAAAGCGATATCCGACCAAGGATCTGCCTGAATCAGATCAGGGCATTGCCCAATGGTGTAGAAATAGGTTCCTTGCAAAGGTACACTTGCAATTTTCTCTCAAATACGTATATGTATGTACGTGTTGTCTTTTATTATTATTGTTGTTCTAACCAGAGCCTAAAATTTTGATGTCGTTGTCGTTAATTAGAATTCAAATAACTTAAAATAAAAGGTTAAGAATCCAGATTCATCCAGTTAAAAATGACCCAAACATAAAATGATTATAATCTAGATTAATTTGAATCCATAATGACTCAATCCAAAAAATCCAAGTCTCAAACTCAAACACATTGAAACAATTTGAATCCAAAATTAACTCGAACTCCTTAAGATCTAAATCATGGCCAGAGTCAGGATGAAAATTTAAAGAGTAAATATAAGTAGGACTAAAATGAAAGGTCATAGTCTAATTCTTAAGCCATCAATTCAAAATTCAAAACAGAGAGATTTAGGATCTAATTTGTTTAGTTTTAAAATTAAAAGAATTCAAAAAGGATTTAGACCAAAAGAATGATAGGCCAAGACTTTTTTTATAGTTTCAAAACCGAAGGACCTAATAACAATTGTGCCCAAAATATTGAGGTAGGATCTAATTCACATAGTATATATATAAAGTTACTCTACAAAAGTACTTATTTGAATGATCCTAAAGACTAATTCCTAAACCCTAATTTGAGATCTTAAATAAAATATCTATCATTGGTACAATCTTGTTTATGAAATATTTTTCTATAATAACCCTATATATATAATCGTGTATCTAATTATTGTGTTTGTAGGATGCACTATTAGACAATTTTGCAGTAACCGGCACATTCGAAGAAGATGAAATCACAGAATTTCGTCGTTCAGTCAAGTCATTGATAGTAAGATTTATCATAAAAAATGAATACCACTATATTTGCATGATTTTTTTTGAAAATATATTATTATTATTATATTAAATTTTCTATCATATTGGTAATTGTGTTGTTGTAGGTTACTCTGGTGTTCATCATTTTACTTTTGCTGGGAGGATGGATATATCTTCAAAGGCTCTCAACTGGATGGAGATATATAAGTTTAGCCACCATTATTGGAACTGTCACCATCGTTGTTCACATTTTCCTTGAATTTACCAAGTTGCCTCCCCAAAAGAACAAAGCTCATTTGTAACCCTAAGCGGTGATATTATAATAATCGAGTCAAGTTTAAGTTATAATAATCCGACTAAACAAGTTGGGTTCGTGTTTAAGTGATATATGTATATATATATATATATTGTGTTTGATAGACTCTTGGATTTGAAATATGTAATCAATATTAAATTGAGACGTTAAATGCCTGAACTAAAATTAAAATTTTGAATTTTAATGTTGCGAATGAAAAAAAAAACTGAATTGAGAAAATTATCCTCGTAATAGACCTCTATAATGGAGCGAGAGCATTTATGAATGGAAAGCGTCCTTTGGACTTCCAGAAGGAGAACAAGTCAAGACGATCGGACACTACGAGGGACAACCGGCGACTGGGCTATGGAGTTTTCGTGGACAACGTCAGCAAGAGAGTTTCGCGTTCGAACCTGACAGATGTGTTTCAAGCTTATGGAGTGGTGTTGGATGTTTATATTGCTTACAATAATATGAGAAGGAAGATCAAGAAATCAACATTCGCTTTTGTGCGGTTCAGAAGTCAGTCGAAAGCCCAATCTGCTGTAACCGATATGGACGGTATAATAGTGGACGGTCCACCCATTAGGGTTTATTGTGCTATCGATAAGAAAGAAAACGTTCCTCAGTCGAAGCTTCCGGTTAAAGTAACCAAAGTTTGGAGGAAACGGTCATCCATGAAAGATGACAGGCCATTCAAGGATGTTCTTGTAGGTGCAAATATCTCCAACTCAGTGCGCTCAGCAGGTTCTGGGGGCTGCAAATGTAGTAACGGTTCCAATGCAATCATAGTTAAGGTAGTTGAAGAGCTGCCAGCCGCTAATCGTGATGCCTTGTCCGTCGAGCCGAAGGCTATAATTATTCCAAAGGTTGAGTTGGAATGGAGGAGCTGTTGTTTGGTGGGAGGGATTAAAGGGATGTAACCCGGATATTGTTCAAGAGGCATTGAGGTCTGATGGGTTTGGAGTCAAAGTATCCCCATAGCACGGATTGCTTGTCGTGCTGCAATTCCCAAATAAGGAAGAGTTAACCAGATATTGGAATAACAGAACTGAGTTATTGAAACTATGGTTCGATGAGTTGGAACTCTTAGAAGGCTTCGATGGTAAATGTAAAGTTAAAGTTTGGGTTGTTCTGAAAGATGTCCCGTTACAAGTTTGGAATGATAAGTTTTTCTCGGAGCTAGGTAGTAAATGGGGAGCGGGTCTTCGGATTGATGATAGTACGTCGAACCGGTCTCGTTTTGATGAGGCAAGGTTATTGGTGGCTGTTCAAAAGGAGCCAATTATCCCGGACAAAGTGGATATCAACATTAACGGCAGCATTTATCCTATAAAAATTGCCATTGAAGAGTTTGAGGGGGACCGGACTTTTATCGACGACACCTCTCCGTTCGTAACGGTGGGAAGGGAGATGGTAGGCGAGGCGTTTAATATTCCCAGCTGCAGTGAGGTTGTGTTAGGTATATATACAGTACTGAGTTATATTTGTAAATATATATAAGAGTTTATTTATTATAAATAGAGATGTAATATAAATTTATGAGATATTAAATAAATTTATAAGACACTAAGACGTAAATATATTACTGAATTTCGTTAAAATTCTTGTGTTCTTTCGTTTTTATTTATCCGATTCTTCAACATGTTGATATTGGAAACGATAAAATAGTGGAGCATAATGATCATTTGGAAGTACAGGTGTGTCAGGAAAAGCTCTTTGAGGCTGAGAGTTGTTGGTTGCAGCGATCCCAATGCACTGGGCAATAAGGAGATCCAGGTGTCATCAAGCAATGTCGGCTTACATGAGGTACATATTCAGGCGAGTGTTGGATTATGTATTACTGGCAATTAGGGGTGTGTATATTCGAGTACCTTTGGATCAGTGATTTTTCGGCCCATGTTCTGATTCTGATATCTCGGGTACCCGGATTTTATAGGTATTCGTATGGCGGGTACCCGAATACTCGTATTGTTTTTCTTCAAATTATTAAATAAAAAAAATATATAAATTTAAATGTTCGAAATTTCGAATTATATAATCCAACATCAAAATACAAAATTTGAAAATTTGAAATACAAACATTTAACCTAAACACATACACTGAGTACAAACGTGGTGCAAAATCCATGGTGACAACACACACTTTCACATGATCATTCCTTGCCTTTTTCAAATCATTTTCTTTGATCTTAGTTTCTATTCCCAGTTTGGCTAAACCCAGTTTTACATTTGTTGCTTTTTTCCAGTGATTGAGCAAGGCTTCTCAGGTGGGAAGATGGTGATGTTCAGATCCCCATTGTTGCAGTCACTAACATCTGTGTTCTTAAAGAGCACATTGAAATTAACCAACAACGACATCATCGGCGCCGGTGGGTACGGAACCGTTTACAGGTTAATGATAACGAAACCATGGCCTTCGCTGTCAAAAGGCTTAACAGAGGAACTGCAGATCGCTGTCAAAACATGTGTTTGTTTAGAAACTTAACCTAGTAATCGGGTATCCGGAAAATTCATTTTTTGTGACCCGGGCCCGACCCGGCTGAGTATTTTTAAAGAAAATTACCCTGTTTTTTATGATTCGGGTCGACGGGTCGGGTCGAATAATTTTGCACCCCTACTGACAATTGGGTTAATAGTGGGGTATTGAACAAAGATGTGAATGTTATGCAGGATGGGTTGGGCCAGTCCATATCTCATGGATCCAGATTACACGAGGTGCCCATTGGTGTTACCCAGTTGGTGGAAGAGGTGGGCCCATCCCCTCTAATCTTTTCCCAAGGTCATAACAAACCAGGAATTGCTGTACTTGGTGCAAATAAGTCGAGGAAGTTTCCCTCTGGTATTATTTCGTTTACTTCAGGAAAAAAATGCAAAAAGAAAAGGTATTTTTCACGGGTCTTCGAGAAGGGTTAAAAAGTATAGGCTGAAGCAAAAACCTAGTAAACCAGAGGAGACGGAGTCAAGCGCATCGGGGGGATATCATTTGAACCAGGCTCCTGATGTTGAGGATGAAGCCACAGCATCGTTCAAAATTGGCAAGCACTTGGGGATCATTTTCTCTGTTCCAGATGAAGCTGTCGTGGAATAGCAGAGATTGAAGCGGAAGAGAAGGTTTGATCCGTCGTTCAGGTTCGTGATTAGCGGTGTAGTGTGTTCTTGATCTTGAAGATGAATTGTTTGGCTTTGTCTTGGAATGTTAGAGGGTTAGGGAGGAGAGAAAAATTAAGAGCTATTTGTCGTATAGTTGCTGCCAGTAAACCAATTTTTGTTTTGATACAAGAGTAAAAAGTGCAAGATGAAAATCAAGGGGTGCTGAAGAGGTTAAGAGGTTCTAAGTATGATAACTGTGCTGTGGTGCCTTCTGTAGGGGCTTCGGGTGGTTTAATTTCCCTTTGGGATTCAAATTACTTTGTCATGGAAAATGTAGTGAAGCATAGCAGATTTCTCGCAGTGATTGGTTGCGTTGTCCAGTTAAAAATGAAGGTAGCGGTCATCAATGTCTACGCTTCAAATTGCAATATTGAAAGAAGTGAGTTCTTTGATCAGCTTAAGGGGTTCATTGTTGGTGGTGCATATCCAGTAGTTGTTGGTGGGGACTTCAATACAGTCAAAGTGCCAGAGGAGAAAAGGGGGTTTGGCATGTGCAAGCGTTATGTGCGTGTTCTCTGAGTTTATTCAGAACTGTGAGATGGTGAATCTACCGTTGTTGGGTAGCGCTTACACTTGGTTTAGATCCGATTCATCCACTTCAGCCAGCCGTTTGGACGGGTATATAATATCGCCTGAAGTGCTTCTTTGTTTTTCAAAAATCATACAAGTTACTCACCCTCGTAGTCTATCGGATCACAATCCCGTTGTTCTAAATGAAGTAGGTTTGAAAAAATGTAAAAGGTCGTTTAAGTGGTTCTCGCATTGGGCAGAGGAGGTGGGCTATTCCAACCTTGTAGAGGGGATTTCCTCCAAATGTCGTAAGAAAAGTATGTCTGAGTTTTTAAAGATGAAATGCTCTTCAAAGGCTTGGGCAGCGGCGGCCTCTGTGAGCAATGCTGCCTCTATTAAACTGTTGGAGAGCAGAATTGATGACCTGGAAGCTTCTCTCCTATCCTAGGGAGGTAACATTGGAACCTTGTTTGAGATTAAAAAGCTAAAAGCGTCTTTATGGGCAATGTATCGAAGGGAAGAAAGAGAGTGGATTCAAAAATCAAGAGTAAGACGGTTTCGGGATGGTGACAGAAACACCAAAATTTTTCATCTTCCAGCTGCTATCCGAGGCCGTGTTAACTCCATTCAGTCAATCAGGTGTGATAATGTGTTGCTTACGGAAGGGAAAGACATCTCTCAGGCTTTTGAAAATCATTTCAGGGATAGTTACAATGAGGTGAAAACACTGGAAGTAAAGAGATTTGGGGTTCGGTTTAAGAAATTGGATGTCTCAACCAAAAATGCAATTGAAGCCACTTTCTCGGAAGAGGAAGTTTGATCAGTTATCAGCTCTGCAGGGTCTCGTGCTCCTAAGCCTGATGGTTTCAACTTGACTTCTACAGGAGGTTTTGGTCTTCTCTGAAAGGGGAGATCAGGATTTTTTGCTTTATTTTTAGAGTGTATGAATGAGAAGGTTTTCAACCAGTCCTTTATTGCGTTGATTCCCAAGAAAAATTGCTCCTGAATCCATTGAGATTTCAGACCCATATCCCTTGTTAGCAGTTTGTATAAGATTTTAGCAAAGGTTCTTTCGAGGAGGTTGGCCGGGTGCATTGAGAAATTGGATGTCTCAACCAAAAATGCAATTGAAGCCACTTTCTCGGAAGAGGAAGTTTGATCAGTTATCAGCTCTGCAGGGTCTCGTGCTCCTAAGCCTGATGGTTTCAACCTTGACTTCTACAGGAGGTTTTGGTCTTCTCTGAAAGGGGAGATCATGGATTTTTTTGCTTTATTTTTTAGAGGTGTATTGAATGAGAAGGTTTTCAACCAGTCCTTTATTGCGTTGATTCCCAAGAAAATTGCTCCTGAATCCATTGATGATTTCAGACCCATATCCCTTGTTAGCAGTTTGTATAAGATTTTAGCAAAGGTTCTTTCTAGGAGGTTGGCCGGGTGCATTGGTGATGTGGGAGGTGAAAACCAATTTGCCTTCACTGCCGGGAAACAAATAGCTGACTGCTCCCTTATAGCAAATGAAATTATAGATGACCTGATCCGGAGTAAAAGGCAAGCAGTAGTGTTTAAGGCGAATTTTAAGAAAGCCTACGACACGGTTGATTGGGATTTCTTGGATTTCGTCATGAAGAAAATGGGCTTTGGGTCGAAATGGAGAAGTTGGATCCGGCTGTGCATTTCCTCTGCCTCTATCTCGGTCTTGGTTAATGGGGCTCCGACTAATTGGTTCAAGATTAAACGTGGTTTGAGACAGGGTTGTCCATTGTCTCCGTTCCTGTTCAATATTGTGGGTGAACCTCTGAGCAGGTTGTTGAGTAAAGCTGTGGAGGTGGACTTATTAAAGGGAATTTCGGTAGGTACGAGTAATTTAAGTATTTCCCACATCCAGTTTGCTGATGATTTGATCATATTCTTTGAGGCAAAAGAAGAAGCAGTGGTTAATATGAAAAGAATCTTGCGTATTTTCGAAGTTGCATCTGGCCTCAAACTTAATCTGTTGAAATCTAAGCTGTTTGGGGTTAATGTGGATGAGGTTCAAATTTCCGTCTGGGTTTCTCAAATCAGCTGTGGCCAGGACCGGTTCTCTTCGAAAAGTATCTGGGTTTACCTCTGGGTTCGTCTAGAAATTCGAGTGAGCTATGGAAGCCAGTGATCAAGAAGTTTCTGTCAAGACTTAGTGGATGCAAAGGCAAGCTATTATCTTTTGGTGGCCGTATTACTCTGGTCAAATCCGTCCTTGTCAACTTGCTGGACTACTATTTATCCATGTTTCAGATGCCTATGTCTATGGCCTCTAAGCTGAATAAGATGATGGCCAATTTTATTTGGGGGGCTAGATCGAACAGAGCTATTCATTGGGTGAAATGGGAGAACATTTGTAGACCTAAGGAGGTCGGTGGTTTGGGTTTCTTCGATCTGAGATTAAGAAATCGTTCATTGCTTAACAAGTGGATTTGGAGATTTGGTGGTGAGCGGGAAAGCTTGTGGCGGAAAGTTATTGATGCTAACTATGGCTTTGATTGTCATTCTCTGGTTCCGAGACCAGTTCACCCAAGGAAAAGTTACTGGATGTGGAAGAGCATATATTGTCCTTTATCTGTTAGGGAGGACTCTTTTTTCTAAAAACATCGTGTGTGTTGTTGGCAATGGAAGGCTCATTGATTTTTGGGAAGACCGGTAGACTAAAGTTCCGTCTCTCATATTGTCCTTCCCCCGGATTTTTAGCATTGCGACCAAAAAATCTGGGAAAGTGTGCGAGTTTGGAGATATAATAGATGGAGCTTGGGTTTGGAATCTAGCTGTTCGGAGAAGTTTTTTGTTTGGGAGGTTGGAATATGGGATGATTTCATGAATGTTACTAGTAGAGCTGGCAGTGGGTGCTATGGGGATGATTGTGTGGTTTGGTTGGGTTCTCCGTGCGGGCATTGCACTCCCAGTGATTTCTGCTGATATTCTTCCTCTTTGTGGGCCACTAAGGATACAGTTTGGAAGATGGTTTGGGCCAATCTAGCGCCTCCGAAGGTTGAAGCATTCATGTGAAAGCTAGTTCAACACAGAATACCAGTCTTGGTGGAGTTGGCTAAACGTGGAGTGCAGATTGGCGAGGTTGCTGTTTGTCCATTGTGCAATTTGGAACAAGAGTCGGTTACTCATTTATTCTGTCATTGCGTAATTAGTTGGGGCGTATGGCAAAAATGGTGCTCGTTGTGGAGGATCAATCTCGGTCCAGGTGATATGAAATCATTTTTGTTATTGTGGACCAGCATTGTGTTCCGAAAATCTATTAGGCCTTTATGGAACTTGACGTTTTTTGGTATTATTTGGTCCATTTGGCTTTGTCGAAATGAGGCTATATTCAAAAGGAAATGTTGGTGTTCGAGTCAAATTTTCAATTTGGAGCTTCTCAGAATTGGTTTTTGGGGTAAATGTAAGTGCCTGATTCTTTCTTCCATATAGTAGATTTTGTTAACTGCCCTGATGCTGTTTCAATCAGGTTGTGATGGGATGTGCTGTGTTGTTGTTTTAGTGAGTGGCGGTGTTTATTTGTTTGAGGTTCTAGTTGTGGTAGTGATTTGTGGCTCTGCATCTCTGCTTGCCTCTCTAGTTTAAAGCTACTGTAAGGTAATGTGTGTAGCAGTTGTTTTATTGTTGGCTGGCATGGTTGTGGTACGGTTGTGGTGTTTTCTTGTAAGTTGTTAAGTTAAAATGCTCGTTTTGGGGGCTGGGGTTTTGGTCTCCCTTGTTTCTGTGGCAGTGATGTAGTTTTTGGTGGTTATTGGTTGTTTTCGTTGCCGGTTTATGAAGCAGGGGCTGTGTTTTATTTATGGGATAGTTGCTCGCCTGGGATATAGTCGTGAGATAGCTTATTGATGGTTGTTATAATTGGTCTGGTGTGCGCATGTATTGGTCCAGCTTTTTGATGGTTGTTCCTTGGTTATGGTGTGCGCGTGTATTGGTCCATGGTATTGCTGGCTGTGCATCTTTTGGGGTCAGAGAGGAGTTGTTGGTCTTTGAATGTATTTTCTTATTTTTGTTTGACATTAACATGGTGGACTCTTTTTTTCTCCATTTAGGTTTAGGAAGTTTTTTAGTAAGGCCCATATTTTTGTCCAATTTTGTATGTGCTTTATTAATAACATACAAAATCCCTTTCAAAAAAACAAAAAGACCTCTATAATATTTAATCTAAAATTAGTTTACCAATGAATCAATACTGATGATTATAAAAAAATGACATGAATTTTTTCTACTGTAGGAAAGTTATTCGGACTGTATAAGAAACCTATCACGTTGTCATTTTAACCGCAGCAATTAAAAATCAATAATAAAAAAAATATAAGACTAAATTTTAATAAATTAAAGTAAAATGATTAAATCTTAAATTTCAATATAATAAAGGGACTAAAGCCAGAATTAAACCATTATATATATGTTTTCCTAGAGATTAACTTGCTTATTTTCGGCTTCTTAAAAGTGTGAAAATGGCTTAATGGAGTGAGTTTGAGAGAATATGCAGTATTTGATTCAGATTAGACGATGAATAGATTGGATATCGATGGTTATATTAAAAAAAATTATTGGAAAAACAAGGATAATGAAAAATTGGAAAAATAGACAAAAAGCATCACTGAGAACACTATACAATCTCTAGATTTTCAAGTTAACACATCCATATATTTTCTACAATGTTCAGACCTCTCATTTATTGCAAAACTCTTCTTTTGTTCAAGAAAGTAAAAAGAACTAAACAAAACATCTACGTATTAAAGGAAAAACACCCGAACCTGAGCGATGATTAATGAAGAAAACTGCACGAATATTTTCCTTATGTTCATCGTTATTAAATTCATCAATGTTTTGATGCGTCACCGAACACCTCGGTGTAACATATGGGGCAAGCCTGGAGGCATAAAATTGCAGTCAGCAGCTTATAAAAATGCTACCTAAAGTATATAAAGTTCAATGTTTTTGTCTCTCCCCCCACCCACCCACCCTTTCGACATATATCATGAATTCAATCCGAAAAGAATAAGAAAAGAAAAAATATCAGTGGCTTACCTTGTTGATGCTAAGCCATCGGTTACCACAACTGGCATGGTAGACGTGCTTGCAAGGCAGGGTAATCCGTTTCTCGCCTCTTTTATATTCCATTTGGCAAATTACACATCTAGTCCAAAATGATAATAACAATGGTAAGAATAAGATCCATTAGCACAATGCTTTAGAGGGAAAAAGAGCGAGGGAAATCGAAAATAAAACAAGCTGAAAAAATCTCGAGCATTTGAAGGATGTGCCGCCATGGCATGCATATTATTCACACAACTAAAATCGTGAGAATGCAAACGGACGATGGACATTTGCAAGGTAACACTAAGAGGGTTTCAATAAAAGACTATTATTTTTGCGTTAAGTTTGCTGTTTGCCGTTGGCCAACCATTTAGCTATGTACATGCATCTGTTTGCCCACGATTAATTTCAATACATTAAAACATTTCAGATTTATTCGACAGCCCCACTAAGTAAACTGATGTTTCCATTAAGAATATGAAAGTGGAAAGATTTGACTTGAGATCTAAAATCCCAACAGCGAGTAAATTAAAAGCCTGATCGTTAACCTTACAAATAACAATACATCCTGACCTAACTATACAATAGCATCGGATTTCGGAGGTGCCGTATTGAAAATGCTACTCAAAGATGAAAGATCAAATGTCCCTACTGAAGTCTGCTGATCAGAATGTCCTATCAGGATCCTAGTTGGTCTTACCAATAATAATTTAATTAGAGTCCGGCTTTTTACCTCTCTTTCGACTTTAAAGTGTAGTTACTTTGAAGTTTAGCCTTCAAAGCAAATACACTTGGGGACACTCTCAAAGCATCATCTCAAGCAAATGAATCACTTATTGTAATTACCAAACCATTTTCAAGCATCTCAATGCTCTCAAAGTTGGTTCATGGAAAGAGGAAGCCAATGACAAATCTTAAATCTCGACAGATTTATGGTAGACGCAAAGAAAGTGCTAAAAGGCCAGCAAAATAATACATCAAAAACACTTGAAAGAACTAGGGTTGTGTATTGCAAATTAAGTCTGTTGAAGAACATGACCAGCAGTGAGTAAATGGAATCAAATTTCAACAGACAGAGTGAAGAAAGCAGATGGTGTACCTCTCATTCCTTGATTTCTTCCTTGAGAATAAGCTGCACTTGTATTTTGAAACTGGAAGCAAAGATACAAGTTCTTGGGAAAGACCTCGACTTTGAGTTCCAACAGTCTCCCCTAATTCAAGTAATTCCTAAAGTGAAATATAATCAGAAATGATTAATAAGAAATAAACAAAAGGGTAAAAATTCCCAAATATACAACCTAAATTTTCTTAGAAATGTATTGGAATGACTGAATAAAGTTTTATTCAATATTTAATTGTTGTGTTCACTAAAACCAGTGGAAACTTGATGTGGGTAAGAAAAAAAACAACAGTAATAAAAAGAAATAAGGCCTGAACAAACAAGATAGAACTCAAATAAAATGCTAGCCATCCCAAATATATCCAATAATTAATAAGAACTGAAATAAATAAATATTATAATAATATAAGCTCCTGCCTCGAAACTCCTTTAAAAAGGATGTTTGCTGCTGCATTACAGTAAAAGATATAAGGACTTAACCGTAGTGTTTTAACCCATTCAAATTAACAATTTCAGCTAGAACACAAGGCTATAACTTCATTCTCTCATTCTGATAGCTTCAATATATTTCCCCTAAGTGACCACAACAAAATGGGGGCTTAGAAAAGCAGAATGAATGAATGATTGCCTAGACAACTATCGCAGTAATTCTAGTTGGTATGCAGGAAATTTTGAATTCTATGGATCAAAATAACCCTTCGGAGGGAAAATTCTTTGCTCAGAAGAACAACCAATCAGGGATAACTAAGAATTAGGAACAGACAGTATTCCCATATTAAGCAAGACAAAAAGAATTAGGAAGTTTTTTGTCTAACCTCGTAAGTCATGTTGTCAGGATCCACACCATCTTGCCAAATGACCTGCATAATTTAACAAAGTTTTGCAACATTTAATTTTTTGAACCATGGATCTGAAAAATAATCAGGTGCTGATGCAAATAATCTACTAAGATGTGTGAGTATGAAAATCCATACATTGTGTAAAGATAGAGTTATGCACATGTGTAAAGAAAACATGAGAGAGACCTGATAATCATGAGAGTTCTGTTGCCTTCGTGGACCTATAATGCAGGGAAAGAAAGCATTGGTATGAGGAGAACTTTAAAAAAAATCCCACGTAAATAAAGTTTCAAGTAAGAATAGGTTCTATTCAACCAAATGAATGAAAAGTTGTGATTAACTACATAACTAGAAAAAAATATATTAATAAAACTCCAACCCACCAACTTCTGTTTTAATAAATCATACCAACTAATTCTGGTAAGCCACGTAACTTCATCTCGGTCAATCAATTTTTGAAACAACTATTCACCACATAATAAAAGACATGCACTAGAGAGCATATTCATTAGTAGCTGTTAATTCTGTTGAAGTGCCAATTTTAGCTAGGTTGGCATGAAAGCTAAGACATACAAAACTTGGAGGTATTTGAACTCAGATTGCAACAAAAGCTCTAAATTAAAGATTCAAGCTTTAACAAGCCAAAATTAAAATTGGATGAAGCCTGAGATCTTCAGGTCAATCGATCTCAATTTTCCTACAAAAGACTCAAGTTAAGACCAGTGTTGCTACAAGTGGCAAAGTAGTTGGCTCTCTGCAGAGAATGAAGGCATGGAATTTGCTTGAGATTGAGAATACAGAAAGCCTTGACCACTTGACTGGCAGTGGACCAGGTCTTATTAATTGTTTCTCAGTGAATAGTCATAGAACACATTGAGGTCAGGATCATGACCACTGTCATACTGCAAAACTCTGATATGATTAGATTAAAAATATGCCAGCAAAGAAGTGCCCACCTGAACCAATCAACTCCTCCAGATAGGAATACTAGATATCAAGAGAATGTTGTTACATGGTCTTAGTACTTGAAAAAAAATGTTAAAGAAAGAACCTGAAGAACCAATCTCATTGCAAATTTACAATTGAGTAGTATCAATTATTGTTGCATTACCAGGTTTGATGACCACTTTATGATCAGACTGGTGATACCAAGGACTTGACTTCATGATCTAAAGGGGGAAATGAAACCTCAAAAGTAAAAGACAGCCAACTCTATGCAGTCCATCTTGGAAAAAAGCCAAAAACAATCAGCAAGGAAAAACACTCTTTGGACGGCTTTAAAAATTTAGTAGCTGATAGAGAGGGGCATTGATAAGGAAATCTGAAGGACTTGATCCAGTCGTCTGGTTGTTATTCTTAAGATGTCAATCAATCCTAATTCATATTTCAAAATTCACAATGATTCACACAAAAATAATCATGAATGTGTTGAATCCTTAATTTGATAGTTAAGCCATGTTAAAAATATGCCATTGACATAATGTTCGGTCGAATTATGTAATTCAACATGTCACAATATAGACATCACCAAAGCAGAAATGAAAACTTACAATCTACGGTGTTTTCTTGAGAGGTTGTATTTGCATTTCCTTCCCATTCCACATTCATTGCTGCAGTTTGTTCATTGCTCATTGATGAGGAATTCTCCGATGCCCTTCTATATTCTTCATCACATAGTTCATGGTTACCCCCATCGTAACTATGACTATGATCATAATATGAAATATTATTGCCAAAATCAGATAATCCAAACTTGTAAAAGCTTGTAGTCATTGATGGGTACACACTCTCCTGCAGATGGAAAATCCAATTTTGGATGTGACCAATTGCAGCAAGTCACTTACAATAAAACATCTAATATACAATACAAAGGTTATGATCCAAATCCTTCAAATGCAGCAAGCTAAGAATCAGATACTACAACGAACCAATGGATCAATTAAGATAAACTTATCCAGAAAATCAAGGAGAACTTTTCAGTAAATAAAAGAGGGACAGTTTTGATAATAAATGGTACCTGAAGATGGGAGGCACCGTCAAAAATGAAATTGACATGTTGATATGTAAGACCTTCGAAATATTCCACAAAGCTGCCAGAACTATTATAAGGGTAGGCACTGTTGATGTATTGAACTTCCATGTACGGATTCCAACTCATTTTCAAAAACCCAACTAATCTAATTAAAAAGGAAAGCACCAAAACCCTTCAAGTTGACATCTCAAAATTGCAATGCGTAATAGAAATAGACGATAAAAAATAAAATTCAGAAGAAAAAAATCCAAATGCAGACCTGTTCTCCTCAAAATTTTCACAAGCTTATAGCGAATTTCAGTCTTCTAGTATTCAAGAAAGATTCCTACACAAGTGTAATAAAGAAAGACAGACAAATTAAAATATATGCAAAAATTAATACTCTCTCTAAAGGAACAAGTTGTTAAACGGTGAGATCAGGTTACCACAACAAAAACATGCTACGTGTTAGAAAACCTTCAAAGTGAATGCAAGGTGTAAACCAAGATGATTAATTCCAACATTTGGCTACCGAGAAAATGCAGGAAAACGAGGAAGAAAATAGCAGAAGCATTACCGTTGAACCATAGTCTAAGCCGAACAATGAGTAAATCTTGAGAAAAGCTTACTTTTCCAGTTGATCTTTACTCTGAAAACTTTAAAAGACAACCTCATTATACGATTTTCCGGCTCTCTTTCGGGTGAGAAAATGCGAGATTTTCTCGGGAAAATTGAAATGTGTGTGAGAGAGTAAGGGATCAATAGAGATACATGAGAGTGACTGAAATATATAATGCTATAAAACTTTTAAAATTAGAAAAAGGATTAATACCACTTAACATCCCAAATCATCTCTCAAATTCTAAATTAGTCCCTAGTTTTTTTTAAAAAAAAAAAAATTTGAATCTTCAAAGTATTACTTATGTTTTGACAATTAGGTTCTTCCGTTAGCCTATGTGAAAATTTAGGTGTTAAATTTTAATTCGAATATAAAGTGTACCATATTTAAAGCATTTGAATTGAATTACAATTAAAATTTTCAGAGTCAAAATATATTTAAATTGTTGCATTAGTTTTTAATTTTATAATTTTGAGAGACTAAATTGAAAACTTACTTTGGGGGAAGAAACGCAATTTCACCATTGCATTAGCATACACCTCTTCAATGTTGAAGGGATGAAATTGCATTTTTGTTATTTTTTGGGGTTGAGGCCTTTACTTACCACTATGGATGGGCACAAAAATATGGTCCAACAAATTTTGACTTTATATGATTTTCTATGGTTTTTTTTGAAAAAAAATACAACTTCAAGTTGGGTCAAGTCGAATTCGATTTTAGGATATTTTTTGTTGACTTGAGATAATAGTATAACCCTTATGTTTTATAGATAATTATAATAATATTCATCTTTTACAAATAAAATGAGAATTTTTTAATATATTTGTATCGAGTCAGATACCAGTACATATTTTACCTTAAAAATTGAGTTGAGTTTCAGATTAGGTGAAAAATCTCTCTAAATTTTGTTTATGTCGAGTAAAGAGAATAAAAAATAAATCAAATTTAAATAGGAAAAAAAACTCAACCGACTAAACTCATATCATCCTACTTCATAACCACCATATTTAATATATATCTAGATAGTGATAAGCACACGTAATTTGAGGATTTAATTCTTGAAGGGTTTAATAGGATTGTTTTAAAGTTTAAGAATCAATTTAAATATGAATCATAATTTGAGGATATCTAGTGTAGTTAACCTAAAATACAAAATGAAAGAAAAAGTAAATAAAGAGAGATGACTCTTTGAGAAATAAAGAAGAGACTAACAAGCCGACATTTATCTCTATTTTTAATTTTTTTAATCTTAAATAATTATTTATTTAATTATATTTAGAAGTAACCAAATTTTGATTATCTATTTGATAGTTTTGGTTACTTCACTTGCAAGTTAAATATTCCTCAATTGTTCTTAGTCGTTATTTAAAAAATAAATATTTCATTATTATCTAAAATATATAAAAAATAAATAGTATATATAATGGGTTACATCAACTAATTATTATTTTCTAAATTATTAATTAATCTAATATGAAGCATTAAAATTTTTAAGTAATATTTATAGCCTAAATTCTAAAAATATTAATAAAGTGAATAAAATTAAGAAAATTATATTTATAATATTTAATTTGAATTAATTAACTATATGTATGGAGTAGGAGTAGTAGTTTGAGAAACACGCGAAGTCCGTCAGAATTAGATGGGGGGAGGGAAATGATGGCGTGTTTCGCGGTATAAGATAAGGTAATTAAATGCTTTCCCTTGGATTTTCCCACTCTTCTTTAATGTTACAACCCCCAATAACTCTACCATATATTATTATATGCACAATAACAAAAATCAAAAATCGATTGGAAGGGTGAATTTGTAAGGTACATGTGTAGTATTTAATTTAGTTAATTAATAAAATAAATATTAATAATTAAATTAAAAGATTAATTTTTATTTGTATTTATATTACTTATAAGCTATAACTCTATTCAATTTAGTTTCATTTTCGGTTTATAAACTTAAAAATATATATTATTATTTGTATTATTCCTCTATCTTTTTAGATCCTCATATTAGGTGAAAAAACATATTATATTTGTTCCAACTAACAAATCTAATTATTTCTAAATGTTATGCATTGTGAGATAATAGCAACCATTGAATTTAAATATGATGGGTTTCGATCTGATAGAGTAATTTAAAAAAAATGAGTTTGAATTGAGTCGAGTCGAATCAAATTTTTTGAAGAACAATATCGAGACATTCAAGTTTGGGATGAAAAATATACAATCCAACCTAAAAATAATAGTATAATTGACATTTACATATTTAGAGATAATTGTTATAATATTCTTTTTATTATTTTCAAATAGATTCCTATTTTCCTAATAAAAATATATATATATATATATCAGATCATGTCATGTACATGTTTTTATCTTGAAAATTGGGTCGAGTGGAACTTTCTTAAACTTAGGTCAGATTTGAGGGTAGGTGGAGGGATGGTAAAATTAGGTCGGGTTCGGGTGTGCCAAAAACCTAACCTAATCTATGATCATCCTTAATCGTATATAAAAAATGGGTGTGATGACAAAATTTACCCCCAAATTTTACATAAATGGTCACTTTGACCCCTATATATTTTTAAAACATTTTAACTCCCAACGTTTTAATTTTCGGTTAAAATAACTAATGTTAGATGAAAACTATTAATTCTCTAACAATAAACACATTGTTGAAATAATATTTTCATGAATGCTTAATTGGTAATTTGACACATCCAAAATCAACGATTAAATATATATGAAAATGTCACATCAATAATATAAACAATATATGTTGATCGTTACTCAATTAAAATTTTTTATTAAACAAAAATTATTTTAAAATATTGGAGATTAAAATTAAAAAGATTAGAGGTCAAATGAACTGTTATGCCCATTTTAAAAGCTAATTTTGTAATTATATTAAAAACAAATACATAGATTTACGTAAAAAATAATGATAAAAATCATAAAAAAAAGGAGAAAAAGAATATTATGACCAATGATACTATTACAAGAGGATGGCATAAAGTGTACATATAAGTCTACTCAGCTGTAAGGGTGTTTATTTTTCAGTTTTAACTGAATTAACTGATCGAGTTAAATTAGTTCGATTAATTCGATCGGCCACCAAATTAGTTCGGTCTTAGAATAATTAATAAATTTTTTAGAATTTGGTTAATGGTTAATTAGGTTCGAAATCGGTTAATTAACCGAAATTAAATTTTAAATATTATATATATTATATATAACATATGGGCTCAGCCCAAACCATTTAAAACTCAATTAATAATTTAAGATCTAATAACTTTTAAACCTAAATCAATATTAATTAATTAAAAAATCCATATAAATTTTTTATTTTATAATTATATATTATTTAAATTAGTTGTAAATTATTTTTTTGAATTAAAAAATATTCAATTTTTATATAAATTAATTTTTTTTAAAAAAATCCAGTTAATTCAAAAATTAACTGAATTAACCAAAATTTATTCGGTTCGGTTAATATTTTCAAAAAAAGTTCGGTTCGATTAACGGTTAAGAAAAAAAATCGATTAATTCAATTAATGATAATTCAGTTTGGTCAGCCACCGTTTTAACCGAATGAACACTCCTACTTAATTGATAATCTATGCATCCCATCTAGGGATGGCAATGGGTCGGGTCGGGTTTTTGGGCCACCGACCCGACCCGAGAAGAAAGGGTTTTTCACCCGTGACCCGACCCGACCCGATGAAATTAAGGTTTCACCCGACCCGACCCGAATATATGACTTAGAAACCCGACCCGACCTGACCCGAAATAATAATAAAAAAATTTTATTCAATGAAAACAGTGACTTAATTGAAAAAAATTATATATAGAGGGACATTATTGTAATTATCCCTAAATATATAGGATAAAATTATATATATTTTTCGGGTCGGGTCGGGTCGTATTTTTTTCACCATAAACCCGACCCGACCCGACCCGAACCCAATTTTTTTAAAAAAATCCGACCCGATCGGGTCGGGTCTGGTCGGAACCCGTCGGATTCGGGTTGAGTTGCCATCCCTAATCCCATCCTATATTCCTGTTTCCTTTCAATTTAAGTTCTAACTTAACTTTGAATTTAATCGAAATTAATATAATTAAATACTCAAATTTTAGAAAATAGATTGCAAAATGGAACCAATAAGATTTGGTAGGAAAAATAACATAGATTCACCTAAACCTTCTCTTAGGCTCTCTCCAAGTAAGTTGGTTTCTGTTGAGGTTAGTTAGGAACCGATAACCTAATGCTAAAACAAGATTACAAATCGAATCGATTAAATTTTCGGTTCTTCGATTTTTTCAATAATTTTATATCGATTAAATAAAGATTGAATTGAAACTACGTATAATAAGAGATATATAAAAATAATACCTTTCCATCAACAATATGACCACGTATAAATATTAAATTTTTGGTTTCTATTTTCTTTTGTAACGTTCTAACCTTAACGTTTCATTTTAGGGCAAAAACACATTTAATATTTGATCGAATAATTACTTTAGTGACTATATTTTTCTCATAGATTTTTTAGTGAAATGTATAATACCTCATCACAGACATAATTCGACAACCCTAAATTATTGTTGGCCTTTAAAAGAATTCAAACTAGACGTGACAATCAAGACCAGATTTCGTAAAAGAAATACTAAAAAGAAATAAACAACAACCTAAGAAACCATGTAAAAAATTCGAGTTCAATTAAGAGTTTAACATTTTATTAGTAAAAAATGATTAATCACGAGAGAATGTAAACTTCAGAGTGATTATGAACTCCATCCTTTTATTTTATAAAAATAATAAGTTAATTCATTTACTTTATTTTATCAAATTAATCCTTAATAAACCCGAACTTAGACCGTTGATTTATACTAATTTATGTTATATGTAAATTTCTTAACAGTTGAGAGAGTATTTCTAATTTCTTAGATAGAAAATGTTGAATGATTGATTTAACGATAATGTTTAATAGTATTGTTCAATTTGATTAATTTTTATAAAGTATAATGGTTAGATTCTAATGAATTAAGTAAGAGGACAAATTTCTGAGTTTTTAAAAGTAAATGAGTAAAATTAGAATTAAACTTTTTTAAAACATATTTTTTCTATTGAAAAACAATAAA